GAGTCGACCGTTATTTTCAGAAGACCGAATCACACCGAGTTAGAAATAAACCCCTCTCGAATCCTATAGCCGTTGCGCAAAGTTCGCGAACGCTGTCGTACTTGACTTAGTTTCGCGTTTGGTGGCCTCGGTGTGCATGGTACACCACCGGTTTTCTCGTGCGACTTACGACTTGTCTTCTGTATCGTCAACCCTTTCCTTGTGATCAACATGCTCGCCCAAAGCAGGTGATTCTAGCTGCGTCTATTCTTTGTCATATAATTGTGTCGAAACAAATAGGAAGGATAAGTTTGGTTCGGTTTGAAGGAATTGGTCGAATTAACTGTGAGAAAGAATTATAAATATCGTAAGGTTAATCTCGATTCTTTTCTTCAATTGTATCGTGTGCTTGTTTCTTTTAATCTTTAATACGTAAATGTGAGCCTTTTCGCTACATAACTATCACTACACTTCGTGTGTTTTACTTTAATTTAGTTTTACTTTACTTTACTTTAATTTAGAACGTTTGGAGGCGTTTGGAACGTTTGGAATTTTTCCGAATTTGCTTAAAGGCTTTACTCATTAAAAAATGCGCCGAACGTAAAAGTCCTAATTTACTATACTTTAAGGGTACTGCGTTCTAAGTACGTTCACTTAGGAAGAGTTAAGTATTTTTAGGAAGAAGATTAGAATATAAAGAAAAGATTCAAGGCTTGCCAAAAGCGCAAATAAGGGAAGGTATGGCAATAATGTATGTTCAGTGTCGAGGATATTATATTTTATCGTACAGCCGTTAGTCAAAGTTTCAGGTGAAAATTTAAACTTAACTTAACTCTGACCCATCTCTCTTGTCAATTCGACACACTTTTCTGGTAAAAGATTATACTATTCTGTCATTTATAGAACAATCTTTCGGTACCTTTGACCTGCGGATGAAATCTGATACCTCTGAAGGAGAAATAGTGTAAGTGCGTGTGAACGACAAAAAGCAAAATTAATTATTTATCTTCTCGTTTCATTCACATTCTGTCAATCTGATACACGAGGAACACATTAAGTCGCGAAAATGGGGGACAAATGAAGATTAAAAAATAAAATAAAGGTTATCAATAGAGATTGTGTTAGATTCTTTACGCTTTTGTCTGTATGATGAAATTTATATACGTATTCTTATTAATTTAATAACAATATCCTTCTTAGATAACGTTATATAGGACAGTTCAAAATAAATATACTTTTACTAAATATTGAATCCACAAATTGCGATAGTAAATAATAAAGATGAATTTACTAATTTGAGCATACAATGTTCCACTTATTCAGATATAAAGAGCTATATTTTATGACAGTTCCATTTGTACTTCGCTTGTTAAAGTTATTTTTACTATGTAATATAAATAGAAAGTTTACCTGATATTTATTGGTGGATAATTTGAATAATAAATATGAACTTTAATGAATTTTTCAGGATCGATTTCAATCAACTCGCCAAACCAGCGAATTTACAAAACAGTGCGGTCCTACGAATGCTTGAAGAGGAAGAAGCAAGGCAACGAGGTGGTCAACCCAGTAAGTAAATAAAGATTATCCTAGTTCCTTCTGAGAAGTCGTTTCTTGCTACTAAATCAGCGTCTTTTCAATGTAACGTTATCTCTAGAATATGACAGATAATATGTACGTGTATGTATATTGTACATAGTCTGGTAAATGACCTCACGTGATCATGTAAAATGTAAATGATCTCGTATAGAACGTCCTCTATTACTTCTAACTCTAGAAAAACGTCTATTATTTGCCATTTTTAGTACATTGAACTTTCTCGAGACGAAGTTAGAGTAAGTTATAAAGTAACTTATACAGGGTGTCTCCGAAATCATGGTACAAGCAGTCGGGTGATGATTCCACTTTCAAAAATAAGTCGGGAAAGAAGGATAATATTTTTTCGTTTAAGGCTTCGTTTTTGAGAAAAATAACTTTGAAGATACGTCAGGCGTCCGTGTACCAATTGTAAGTTTCGAGGTCTTTCCGTTCCTGTTGATATCTATGAACATGAATAATGTCACAATTTGCTTCTTATCATTACTGTTATTTTATTTTCACAGTGTCTGTACTGGAAATGATTTTATAAATAAGGATGAGGATATTACTCTTTAAAAATCGTTTTATTAACGTAACGAGTGTTCAAAATGTCAACCGCTCCATGCATAGCGATAACTCGAAACTTATAATTACCACACGGGGCAGCTGACGGATCTCCAAACTAATTTCTCTCGAGAACGAAGGCTCATTATATTCGCCTCCATTCTTCTTTTTCGACTTATTTTTGCATGCAGAATCACCATCCCACTGCTTGTACTATGATTTCAGAGACATTCTGTATATTAAATTTATTTTACAAACGATTTCAAATTGTTAAAAATATTGCTTATAGTTATCGCTTATAGTTACAATCATAAGCGTACGGTATATTAGAAACTCAGTTCCCCAAGTGTTTTTCAATAGAATGCAAATAGTCATTAATCACTTTGTAAATTCGTCGATTAGTTTCTCAGAATTTGCACATCACTGTAACGAACGATTTTATGTTCAACATAAAATAGAAGTGTTATTCTCCTCGTTTCAAGTATCTGGCTAAATGTCAAACTGCACATGCAAATAGATATTTCTTCTTTCGTTGACGAACTTGAATATTTTGTCAACTGATACCATAATAATTAACAATCATACAATTGTATGTGCTTTCTCAATGTATCAATCTATACGTTTACATACATACATACATGTAATGTAATTTAATATAATTCATTTCTAAGAAACGACTTCTGACCAATGTACATAGAAAAAATAACATATGCATTGTATAAAGGGAATTAATCGAAAGATTTCAGCCACCGAAGCACCAAGTCGCGCATTAACCCAAATGAAGAAGACTAACAAGAAGCGAATCTTATGCTGCAACTGCTAATCATGAACCAGGGAGACTAACATCACTTTCAGCCAGTTTAACGTATCTACGGAGAGGTGAACACTAACAATGTCACTTGCACGACAAAACTTTGATCGGTCCTTTCTTAATCCTTAACTGCTATTAACAGATTCTCAAGTATTCTAGAAACCTAGAAACATCTTATTATGAATATTGTCATAAATATATTTTCAAGTAATACATGACATTACGTGGCGGACTGGAAATCACAATGATGTACTTATGTAATTCAAAATTCTGACAATTTGAATTTAATCATACGTATTTCAATTCTTAAAAGTGTTATCCTTTCAGTTTCATAGTCGATTACGTTATAATTTTACTTTCTGCTATGACATATTTTCATGTTTTGGAAATATGAGTGTTGAATAATGAGTTTGTGAGTTTCTTATAATATAATAAATTAGAATATTATTTTATACAAAAAAAATTGTGAATTGGCTTATACTACCATTTTTCTCAAATAATCAAATATCTTAGTAATCCCAAATTATATAATACATACACAGATGTATATATTGTAGTTTAAAGTGTAGTTTTATAATTTTAATTCCTTATTGATATATGTTACAATTTCACTAAAGAGTTAATACATTTCCATTTTATCATAGCAGTTAAGTGTTAAGTTCTGCTTGTTATCCTTGCTTGGTGATCTTTGGCCTCTTTGCTTTTGTTGTTCGTCATTGATTAAAAACAGTCTGTTTCATGAGCAGTGATAGTAAGTATGATTACAAATATTGGTCTTCCTTTCCTCTGATGGCTTTGTCACCTGATTTTTTCACAAGCCGCAAATAATCATCTTGTTGCTTGAAATTTGCTGATTTGGTAGCTTTTTGGTAATTAGATAATCGTGTCATTACTACTTACTTATTTATTATTGTCATCTTGTTGCTTGAAATTCGCTGATTTGGTAGCTTTTTGGTAATTAGATAATCGTGTCATTATTACCTACAATTCAGTTATTTTCTACAGTTTCTATTGCTTGTAATTATAATTGTTCATTCTTCCTTTGTAGGATTATAGAAACATGCATTATATTATACTTGTTTTGTGAAAATCAACCATCGAAAACAATTTATGTAGGAAATTATTACATCTAGACATTATTGCAAAAATGTATTGATAAAGCTATAATTATTTTTACCTATAATAAAAGTCAGAATTCCTTTGCTACTGATAATCTTGGCTGCCATTTAAATCGTTGTATAAAATGTTAAAATCCTCAAAGCTAACTTGGGCTATCCTCAAAGCTATCTCTATCTATGTCTATCTTGTCTCTAATTAAAATAAGTTAATGAAAAAGCAAGAGTCATTTGTTGAACAGTGATCCTTCTGGAATTCGTAACATCTTCTCATTCGTGTTAATATCAATCCCCCACTTACTGGCCAGTTACCAAGAATCCTCTAAAATCGGTGACTAAAACGATCTACAATAATGAAAGGTACAGGTGACTTGGAGGTAGCGTCAGTTGTTGGCGAGTATCCGTTTTGGCAAAGTCGTATCCTTCTTCTTCTTCTACTACTTCTTCCCTGTAGCTGAGTGAACTTTTTTGTAGAAAGACGTGTGAAACAACGGTACGTTTTACGGAGAATATTTCAAATTGCCGGCTGCCAGTGAAAGTTTGACGTGTGTATACCCGACGTGTGTGTATGATTTGTAATACTGTTTCGTATGTGACATGCAATTTTCATGATTTTATTGTGCCAGGAATTTACCGTGTTGTAAACTGTGACTTGTGGAGTGTCTATTGAATACGAGGAAATTACGTTTTATAATATAACATTTTATAATATATTACATGCATATAAGTAATTATACTCCAGATTATTTTTTTTTTTTTTTTTTTTTAGGAAAAGAATTGGCGTTTGTTATTAACAAAAGCGTGTTTTGTGAAACTGTATTAAAACCGTGTATACGACGGTATTCGCTTCATAAAATTACGTGGAAAGTCGAAGATTCTGCGAACTAATGGAATATAGGCAATGTTGCTTCAAGTGTGATTAAGTAAACAGATATCTTATATATTTGAAATGCGATAGCGAACACCTGTCAAGACCAGTAACGAGACAAATTTTTGACTAACATAAGTTTAGGAGTATATAATTGATTTTCTTTCATAAAATCTCAGTGAAGATTGTGTCACTATCGGAATAATACATCCAAACATTTAATTAATAGGAATTATTTCGCGAGAAATATTTAACGATTTTATAAGCAATCTACCAATACAGTAATACTGACAAAAGAATTTCAAAATAGAAACTTGAATGTGTTTTTTTCGTGCCGAGCACCTGTTGAAGTCTTAAATTATTTAGATTTATATCGGAGTAAATTAGTAAGAAATTCGTTTCTATTTCTACAAAATTATTTTTGTATCCATGGTCTCGCGTTGATATCCAATATTCAAAGCTCCAAAACCAAAGAATCTAAAAATACAGCAAGGCTGGGCCGAAATTGTGAAAATTCTTCAGCAATAATCGCGTAAATATAAACTTGGCCAGTACCACGTTGCGGTATAGCAACGTGAATAATAATCCGTTTTATTGACGTAATAACGACTCTTTTCCACGCTTCTTTTTTATTAAACACGGGGAATGAAATTTGATCCAACGTTCCCAGCCAAATGCGTCGATACACTTGTTAAGTATGAGATACGATGACAAGTAATGACGATGATTTGTACAAAACTTGGGCAAACTTATACAAGCTTGTACATTTTATTTGCTTCAAATATCTAAATTTCTGGGGAATAATGAAATTTTAGTATAATAGGATAGTAAAATGAAATTTTAAATATCTACATTTCTGAAGAATATTGAGAAGTAGAATGAAATTTTTGAAGATGTTAACATGTATTTTATAAATACATGAACATTTGCATACGTCATGGCTTAAAATTAGTTAACACACAACATGATGCATCAGTGCACATGCCTTCTCGGTCAAGTCACCTTGTATAAATTACAAATAAGCTTTTGTCAACTTCCCAATAGCTTTTCCTAGATGTAAATATGATGCATTTATATGTCGGTTACAATTACACAATGCCTTCTATAATACATATTTCAATTTCGAATCAGGCATTTCGTCATTACTATCCGAACTCAAATAAAGAATTAATTTAAACTTATTTACACAAATCTAATTATTATACAAATATAATACATACTGATCTTAATGATTATATAGCGTAAATTTCGGTATTTATATACATATATATTCATTTATGAACTATATATATAAAGTATATATATATTTGGTAAATGAGCATAACAAATTCCAATCTTGAGAAATAGTTAACATATTATAGTGAATATATATAGTGAATATGAACAACAATAAACAATATAATAATTTTAATAAACGTTCTTTTAAGTTCTAAATCGAAAATTGATTTTCCTGTAGCGTTTAGTATTTGTCCATTTGCTGAATAGAAATTTGACAGTGAATTTTCATAAACTTTTCATTTGCTCCTTTTCTTTTTAGGACATTCGATTGGTATACTAAGATACTTTTCACGTTAAATACAAATAAGTTACACGAATTGTAAACTAAATGTAAATACACTGTTTTCTTGTTACAAGTATTCCACAGTGTACAACTGTGTAATTAATATAAACAAATCGCCACATGTACATGTATTTTTTATAAATTAATGTAAATAGGTAAAGATAACAGATACATTTTTCAACTCGTATCATAATAAAAGTTATTTAAATTATTTGCAGGACTTAAGCGCGTAGCTTGGCCTCCACCTCCAGAAGATCAGGATCTGGATTTCGTGGAGCAAGGACCCGTACAAGCGAAGGTAAATTTCACTATTTGTAAGAACCTTGTCGAAACTATACGTATGCTTAATAATGACACTGAATAGAGCAACTAGCGTTAGATACCAGCGACTAGTGTGTTTCTATAGAATAAATTAGTGATACTACCGAACCATAGTTCTAGAACTTTGTACGTACTCTACGATCTACAACTTTAGAACACGATTCTGTAACTGCAATGACTTAGATATTTATCGTAACGGAAAACGATAGACTCCTGCACCTTTGCCCGAAATACATGTGATTTTTGTCTCATTTTTTACCCGCATCGTCGTTGCTTGCCCGTGCATCTGTTATGCGTGCATCAAAGGTTCCACATTTTATGTTTCTTCTCTCTTTTTCTTAACGAATGTGAACTGTTTCTTCCATGCTTGCTGTTACACAGTAAACCTCCGCCCAGATTAGTCAAGTTACCTAAACTCAAACAGCTTGTAGTGGCTAGGAAAACTATTGCCACACATCTATTGCATCTATATGTATATGCATTAATTAATTAAAAAAATAAATAAATAATTGTAATATTTAATTCTAGTAATTTCGTGTCATCTAGTTAATGGCACTTTAGTACGACTATAAAAATTTCGTACTGTGAGAATGAAATATAGGATTTGAGAAAAAAGTACATTTTGTAGCCACTGTAAATTTGAATAAATCGAAATCTCTTCATCAGCGTGAAACTTTCGTTCACTTAATGTAAAGTGCACTTACTATGGTTAAAGAAACATTATTCAAAACACCTCATTTCAAGTAATTTGAAACATTTTACTCGTGTGAATCACTTCTGTTATTTTATTTTCGCTTGGAACATATACAGTACTTTCATGTTTCAAATGGTTCAAAAGTTAATTGCTAAGTAACATCTACTTCTTTTCAACTTTACACTCGATCACACTTTAGTTAATGATAATGATTTAGAATGGTCCAACTATGTACTTATGCACGATAGTATACAATATCTCTCTGCTATGTTTATAATCATAATTGATAATTGACATTATAACTACATACCTTCTTTTTATTTTCCACCAAGTATTTGAAATTACTTTTGAAAATAGATTGCTTCAACTCAAATGCCTTGAATTCAAGTAACTTGACTAATTTGGACGAGGCTTAAAGGTGAGATTTCCTATAAATGTTAAACGTTTGCGTATGAATTTTGGACACAGCAAACCAATCACAATACACTTAGATGGCACAAGGAAGATTTTCCTGTAACGTAAAAACATATGATTCGTTATCCAATCGTTTTGTAAAATATAACTTTCAAATCTACAGTTTAAATACGCCAAAGTTCGTTGTTTCAAAAAGCTATAACACTTTTATCTTTATTGCAGACATTAAACAGCCATATGATAAAAATAAGCAATAAAAGACACGATAATCAACTTTTTTTAATGGATTATAATATTTCAATTACAGAACAAAAGGCCGATACGAGATCAATTTTAGTGCCATTTTTAGAACCAATGCAAAAACGGCAAAATAAATAAAAGCGATACAAATACTGATACAGGAAACAGAAATTTCGTTTCCTTGTCTCATGACAGATCTTTAGCCAGTTGGTTAGAATATATTCCAAGTTTGTTACTGCGTGCTGTCGCAAGAGTCAATAGACTGAAGAGAACGAAGCCATACGAGATACTGGAATGAAAAATAAGGAAATGGAGTGGAAACATTATTGAGTGTTATCCGTACGCATACGATATCCACATTATCAAATTTGCTGGTTGACTCGGCAAAGCCAGTTGCAAACGTAATATAGATATTTAAAAAAGAATCTTACGACTGTTATTCAAGTTAAAAAAAGGCTATATATTGTTTTAACACTTGGCTGTGAAATGCATTATGGAAATGGAAATACGTTAAATCTCCGATGAAAATTTTACAATTTTATTGTTTTATCTTATAATTGTATCTTATAATTACAAGGTTCGATTTCATTGAGGATTACCAACATATTTGATCTTCTGTATTACTTGAGTTACTATAACGATACTTGTAATGTTTTAGATACTTTAGAATCCTACAGTAGCAGCATTAATATGTAATTCGAAATATCGAATTACAAAAATGAAATCAAATTAAAAAAATTCTTATATCGAAATCCATATCGTCGCTGTCCTCAAAGCTTTTTCTCTAAATCGATGATATACATTATTTTATAAATTAGCAAATAATTAATTTTATAAATCAATAAGTTAAAATTTATAATCCAAGTTATACTTTACTTTGGAAAGAATTGGATAAAGAGTTATATTCAGTGTTTTATAAAGTGGGAAATTTTGTGAAAGAAGTTTATATAGGAAATCTCAGTGTAGTCAGTTTATTTGCGACTTCGTGCACGTGTCCCGACGACTGTAATACACGTTACGTCTGCAGATCATATCCATAGTATTAATACAAAATGTAAATGCATTTGACGACGCGGTTGACTACACCATCATGGATATCGAGGCGGATATCCCGAGACTATTTCTCCAAAGAAACATGCCTCAGTAACGCGCTCGAAACAATTCGAAAGGATGATTAGAGCCGGGCGAGCAAATTCACCGTTCGATGCCTAGATTGGCGATACCTACAAAAGCCTCTGTTTTCCCTTTTATTTTCCCTCCGAAAGACTCGTGGAATCGGTGATCTCGCCTCGTACCAGAGCAGTCCCTCGTCAGGTTCATCACCCCAGCCGCCTTCGACGATCGCTCGTTCGTCGACTCGAAGCGCCGTTCCATCGTCTCCGTCGCCCGTTAGTCCTGGTGGAACACTGCGACAACCGTCACACTTTCAACTTCAGTCAGCGCCAAAGGGTTGGCGACCGGTAACACCACCGGCTACTTCTCCCATCTCGCAACAACCGATACAGCCGAATTGGTACAATCAGCAACAGCAACAAGATCATCGTGCTCAGGTAAGTGGTCAAAGCATAGGTGTCGGCTTCCGTTACATTGCGCAAGCAGTGCGTTGGAATTATTTGAAGAGCGAAGAATTCTATTTTATCGTAGGAATTATCGAAGAAATTATTGTTGGAAAGCGAAAGGGCAAGTCGAAAGTGACGAGTTCAGCTAGTAATTAGTTTCGATTTCAGAAATAAGGACTATTGGATTTAGTAAGAGCAAGTGATAAAAATCTGAAAATATTCTATTTCTTCTCGTATAATGTTGTAACTGTATAGACCTGTAATATACATTTTCGATTGATACGATCTATGTTCCACTTGTTTTATAGTATCTAGATATAATATTTAAGCTACATCCGATTACACATTTTGTAGCATTTTTACTACTATTTTTTGCGAGCATATTTTGCCTGATTTCGCCTGCTTTAAAATGGGCAATTGTTTATTTTCCATTGATGCGTTATCATAATATTCAACGTTTTCAACAATAAATATAGGTAATAATACAGATAGAAAGATTGTAAATTGTGGAAATAATGGTATTTGTGAAAAATGCTTTTGCCTCCATAAATGATTAGATATTATTTTAAATTCAAAATTAAAACTAGTTGAGCAATCACAGAAATGAGAGATGGCATACTTTTTAAAGAAAATTAGAGAAAGAAGAATAAAATTCAAAATATTCTTAATTTCTCTCGTCAACTTAATTACGTATAAATTTATAAAATTTTGTTTAAAGTCGACACCTATGTACAGGTGAAAAGTTCAACAGGTGGATCGCTTCGCAGAAGACGTGTACGATAACAAGGAACTTACTGTAATTTCCGAGTGTTTTATGTGTACCTTCCTCCACTGTTCTGGAAACAAGCGTGTAGTCAACGGCTGTTATAATACGAGATGTATCTCCTTTGGATACTCGATACGTTCGAAAAATCTATTGCATCGCGATTATAGAATTTATAAGATTAATCTGATCGTGTTGTTAATTACAGCAGCATCCTCAAGATTATAGTTCACCACGATTGGCACAAACTCACGCTCCTGCCGTTTTTGAAGCACCACCGTCCACAATCACACTTCGCCCGGAGCCTCCAATCTCACAGGTAATACTTTTAATTAAGATATTTCCAATTAACTCCTTGTACATTCGTATATATGTACATTTTGTACGTTTAAACTGCCATTATAAACAGAAAATTGTATTAGTCGAGACTCCTCGGCGATCAGTTGTCGTGTACAGGAATGGATTATATGTAACACATACGATATTTTGCTGAACTTAGAAAGAGACAGCGCGAGTGAAAGAGAAAGAGGTGCGAAAGTCGACTTGATGAAAAGGAACACATCGGTTAGACAATGTTGATGCAACAACGGAATTTTTTCATTTTCAATCTGTATTGAATAAAATTTTTACCGATGTGATCGAGAGGTTTTTCTGATTAAAACATGACCAAACACGAAATGATTTGGAGCATATTTGTCTATTTAGTTACATTAACTTATTTTCTTCCGTCCATTAAATATACTTGTAAATGTGACTAAAACTATACCATGTTTGATCTCATTTTAATCAGAAAAATCTCACAAATACATTAGTAACAATTTCATTTTGAAAAAATCAAATCATAAAAGTGTCAGTAAAAAAGTGTCTCATGGATAATTTGTATTTTTTCATGGACGATTGAATTCAGATCAGATTACACTACTCAGCCTTCGAGCTTTACAGTGTACCAACGGTAACCTCAAATTCCCTTAAGGAGATCTTCTCCCAGTAGTAGAAAATATTATAATAATATCGATAATAACGGATATGTACAGTAGTGGATGAAAGTTTAAGACGTCTATCTTTTTATGAATTATGGCGCTATACTATAAATAATGAATAACCAATAGTTCGCAACTGTCCGCTATTAAATTCTATTCTAATATAACACCATTTCCAAGTGTATTGTTCATACTTATACTGTCCAGTGCTTATGTGCCTGAGCAGAAGCAATTCCCAGTTTCCGATTTTTACGACTGAGTATTGGATTCGTCCGAAACTTCTCCGAGGCCGAAATCATGAAGATAACCCCGAACGGTTCTTATAAAAATATTCAGATCACTTGTAGAGTAGACTTCTTTTTAAAAATCAGTAGCAGTTCGAAAATAATCCTTTTCGGATAAGCGGTGGATGCAGTGGTTCATCTTTGCTGTAGTTTTTTGGTTCATCGTAATAGCATCCATTTTTTGCTAATTTTATAACTACTATGCCTGCTTATGACCTGTCTCAGATGTTCCAATAATATTTGCTGTATTTCTACAAATATCTTTTTCTTCTTGCGTAGTAATGTAACCATTTTTCTATCTCCTGAGCGTAGATTGCTTTACCCACGGTTTTCATTTAAATTTAGAAATTGTTATTTTAAATTTAGTATCTCAAGTTAAATAGACTTATTATCGTTCGATTAATTCGAAGTACCGCTGTGTTTGAATTAATTAATTAAAGTTCACAGTAAATACAGCATGGAATCGTTTCATATGCATCCTCTCAAGTACATATTGTTCATGTTTTCAAAGTCTCGTCGTCGTTCGTAGCTAGAGTGTGAGTGCATATGTAATAGCAAGGACAACTTCGAACTGTTGGTTATGTAGCATCTATAATATAGTGCGATAATCTATCAGAAAAGTAGTCATCTTAAAATTTGTCTGCCATGTATTTTGTTACCATGTATGGTATATTTATACGTATGGGTATTTAAAACTTAGATATATTTATTTATGTGAAATAGAGATTTTTTATTTCGAATAACGAAAGCAAATAAAATAAAATAAAGAAAGAAACGAAAGAAAGAGAAAGAAAGAACAAAATAAAATTGGGTATTTCATCCACGCACATTCCTTATATTAGGTACATTCTAGTTATAACGCTATAATTTGCGGAAATAGTATGAAATAATACAGAACGCCTGGCATGAGTTCAATCCTGAAATATGTACTACTCTCACGATTTTCGAGGAATCGTTTATAAAGTTTACAATCTTCGGTTCCTCCGAATAATTCACTTGCGAAAAAATAGTTCTAATAAATCTGACAAATGTTTCAAATATTTCGAATCTTGTATGTACAAGAGGCATGAATTATGTGCGCAAATTTTTCTATCTCTTTCAATCGCAATTTTGAAAAATTATTTAGATCGTAAATACGTTATTTAATTGTACGTAAAATTCTCGAGATATAGTTTATTTCTGCACGCTGCGCTGATGTAATCCTGTAAATTATCTTGGGAAAATTATCAAAATTGCTTTTTGATAAAAAGATTTACATTTGTTTTAAAGACATTAATCTGTAAAGGCTTTAACTCTTCCAATCTTTAGATTATAGGGGAAATCTTTTTTATTAATTTGTCCAGAGATTCACCTTATCTTAAATAAACAACTTATACGGTTCCAAAAACAAGCTACATTAACTTCGAAAAATGAAACGGAATGATCCTTGGCCAGTTTGAATCGCTTTCATGGACATATATGTCTGTAATAATAGTGAGCAATTTGGTCAATATCTCTGATCTTTTTAAGCTTTGATATGCTAAGAAGGGCTATCTAAATAAGCAAAATATCACAAAAAGAAAAAGTGTTACAAACAGTTGTACGTATGTACTTCTAATTTTACTTTCGAACTAAATCTAACCCTAATCCAAAAAATTTCTCAACAAGCAAAACTGGGTTGTATTAACAGTAGTATTAATCCAGTACTTCACTGTTTCACCTTACTGACATCCAATGAATTTATTCTTTGAAGTGATTAAGTAGTGAAATGATGGTTGGCCGTCGCAGGGCGACTGCCACTAATCCAATCCAACTTGAAAGCTAAGGCCGAGCGGGAGAAAACTTTTCATTGACAAGTTTACCGATTTAGTCCTGGTAGGCGAATCGCAAAATAACGAAATTATCTGGGGTTAGGTTTAGATTCACTTCTAAAGTAAAATTAAAAGTATTGTGATATTTCACTCATTTAAATATCCTTTTCTGCTATATTAAATGAGTAAGATGTGATTAACTTCCCAGTATAATTTCTTAATGCCATAAACCTACCAGGTTTACCTTTACATGCACTTACTTTAAAAATAGGTACACCGATAATGTTATTAGACATGTTAGACAATGTTAGAGACATTAATCCTCCAAAATTATGCGATGATACCCATCTACAAGTCAATATTTTAAGAGATTATGTCATTGAGGCAACTATTTACTTTGGATTGCACTTTTATTATTGATTGGTGTGGTGCAGGCGAAAAAGTCGTTATTCCTAGAATACCTATAATCCCCTCAGATTTATCGTTACAATTTAAACGTCCCCAAGTTTCTATCAGAGTTTGCTTTGCAATGAGAGACTTAACTCCAATCGCAGAGTTAAACTCTGAAAGTAGCTGACGTTGATCTGCGGAATCCGTACTCGCATAGTCAATTATACATAACATATTCACACGTGAATTCCAACTACAGTCTTTACCTACTAGCGCCTAATAGTGAAACTGAAAACATTGTTTATGAGAAGGCCCTCATCTAAAAGAAGACTCACATTCTTTGGTAGAGATATGTCCACAAGAGGTAGCGCAAACAGTTCTCACGCATGAACATTTTAAATGTGTTTATTTACTATACTTTAGATACATTAAAAGTTAAAAGCATCATTATCGACTATATTAAATGCTGGTCTCAGCTTGAAAAACATATCATGCAAATCATGTAATCCACGTATGTAGCCTCGTATGTAGCCTCGTATATAACCTAGATTAGAAATTATAGCATTAGTGACCTAAGCTGTATCCTGATATTTATAAATAACGAAATATTATTTCAGGCACCAGCGCCAGTTTACCAAGCACAACCTGCCGCGACAAAAGCTCCAGTAAGCGGAAACATGAGAGGAGACTTGAAGTGGCCGCCAGCATCGGTGAGAGCTCAAACGGAAGCCGAAAACAGAGCTAGGATGGAATTAGCGAAAGGTCCTGCTGTTAGACCTCGCAGAGTGCACAAGGACTATAGCGGATTTTTCGCTCAACACGCTTTGAACAGTACCTATCCTGGTTATCGAGCCCCGCCAGGCACTCAATACTTCACCCCTTCTTATCATAATTAGCAAATTTATTCAAGAGATGTTTACTTTTCTCGTAATATCATCCTGAGCTCGATTTTTCACGACATTTGTAAAAACCGCAATTTCGAGATCAAATATTTGAAAACCTGAAATACTACAAATTTTTAAATTACAAACGGAAAGAACATTAACGTATATATTTCGGTTCAAATTTCTTTATATATATATACATATATATATAATATATATATAGGACTTAGGACTGTACACGCATGACAAAATGCGTGTTCCGCTCTTCCAGTTCTTAGTCCAAATTAGTACTTTCACGAGATACACAAGTTACTTTTTCCAGGTTCTTGAAACGCTTCCTGTTCGCATTTTGAATTTTAACATAAATATTTTTGTATACATTGAGACTGATGCAACACTTGCTTTTTCTCGCCTCTACTCTCATTTGCGCGTAAATATTAAAACAATAGTTTAGCTTTAAAAACATATCCTTTTTACATAATAAATATAAATAAATATCGACATATAAGTGAAAGTTAATTTTTTTGACGGAACAACGTATATCTCGTGAAAGAATCACAATTAATTCAAATATGTGTTCCGATGGAATATTGCTACCATAATGAAAAATGTCGATTAATGCAAATTTTTCAACGACTAACGAATATCTATGTTCGAATAAACATCGAATAAAATACGACAAATTTTTATGAATAAATCATTAATATCGAATATCGAATATCAAAAAAGTTAAAAAAAATTGACCATGTGTCTATTGACTAATTAACAAAACTTTTTAATAATGTAATATATTGATGTGTATAAATAAAAGATATTTACAGATTTAACTATTAAACTTTTGTCTTTTTAAAAACATTTATTTCACGATACAATTTAAATATAACGCAATAGTTTTCTTTATGAATAATCATACAAAATATGTTTATTTATTAACATTATGTATAAATTGTCTCATATGATTTATAGAATAATGTCCAATTCTAGAATGAATCATATTTCTATTTATTACCTTCTTATTAAAAAAGAAGCAAATAAATTACTTAAATAAATGTCAATGATCATTGAGTTATCCAAGTACAGATTTATTTTTTGTCAACTAATTAACGTATTAAAATAACTTAATCGTATAATATGTAGTAGTTCTTCAAAAATTAATACACTAACAATTATTATCTTTGATTTATTTATTAATAATTTTCCCTGAGTTTTCTTACTTTTGGGATCCAAACGTAATGTAGTAATTTAAAAAGTACAAGTTTTGTTCTTTTAAATAAGTCATTAATGAAATTATAAGATTAAAGTTTAAAATTGTAAATAATGATTCATCAGAATAACGTGCATAATACAATTTTTGTATTTCCCCTCTGAATTACTGTATGTTGTACTGATAATTTGAATTTTATATGTACAATTCTTTCAATATTCGACTAGACAACATAGATAAATAAATTGTAGAAAAATAGAACAACAATGATGTAAATATCTTATTCGATACTCAAATATATAGCCTCTAAAAAATACAGAATGATGTAGCTTTTACTTTTTAATGTAATTGAATACTTAGATTTATAGCCGATAGAATATTATGCACGTATCGCATTATTAAAGTAGTAAATTTATACTAAAGAAAAGCCATGGGTTTGCTGAATTGCTTGTAATAGTTTATATCGTAACCTTTCTCGGGTTTGATATCGTGGTAAATCAAGTAAATTAAAACATGTATGAGCAACGGGTAGTAAACGTTCATCACTCATTGGTTGTATTGTAATCTAAAATAAAAAGATATTAAAATATTGTAAAATAGAAAAATATAGATTGCACTAAAGGCTATAATACTATCAGAATAAATTTTAACCGACTTACCCTAATCGCTCTCATGCCTTGTATAGGTATTCTATCACTTCCTGTTAAAAATAACAAAAACTTTTTCTTTTCTTCTAATGTAAGTTCGCGAAACACTTGCCAAAATAGCGCAATCGTAGGATCATCTTTTGTATATCCTTCTTTATAACTTGCATTCCTTTCTAATTCCTCCCAATCGTAATCTTCATTTCCTACTACAACGGCCATAAGTTCATAACTGTGAAATAATTCCAATACACGACCGCCACAAACTTTATGAAAACCTTGATTAAAAGCATAAAAATGATTTTCCACAGATTTGTTTAATGTATAATCTACATATAAATCAACAAATTGCTTCCTGTAAAAATAATTCTGTTAAAATACAAAGTTTAAAATAAAAATGCCAAAAAGGGATTTTAAAAGATATGTGCATACTTATTTTTCAATGTAACAGGAACTTTACTACCATTTGGTGTAAGTTCATATATCTTTTTTTCTCCAAACACTTCCCTGACCACTTCGAAGTGTAAACCAAAGACTTCTTCAAAATCTGCTTCTTCGTAATCAAGTATATTTTGCATACTCCTAAACGATTATTGAACATTGTATACTATTTTGCATTGTATAGTAATATATCTGTTCAAAAAATATATATAATGCGCAATTTACTTGGCAAAAACTGGTGACATATCTTTGATATCATTTAAGGCAACTGGTTCACGTAACAATTTCTTATATAGAGCTAATGGAAATGGTAAATCAATAATTATAAAATTATAAATAACTAGTCCACAAAGGATTCCAATTAAAAAATACATCTTTTCATCCTCAAATGAATCTTCATTGAACCAAATAACTCTAGTTTCTTCATATTGTTTGAACATGCCATATTTGGGATCTAGAATTTCTCTCAGTAATAACATAAAAAACTCCTTTTTAACTCCACCTGCATCTTCTGCTTCCTCGCCGTGAAATTTTACCTTTATAAAATAATGCATTTCAATTATCTATCTATATATATATATATATAAATTTGTATTATACATATAATACAAAAGTGACTGATCTACTCATCAACACCCAGCCCAAACAACTGTACCTAGAAACGTGAAATTTAGACAGTATACTGCTTTTATGACGAAGTATATGAAAGTATATTTGGAAATATCGACATTGAAGGGGTAAAAATGAGAAAAAACTTTTTTTACGTGATAACCGTATTTCTATGTCCACTAAAGTTCGAAAAATGAAATTCCGCATATAAATTTCTCATTAAAAATAAAGAGACAGTGTTTGAGCGATTTTCGAAATGCAACTCTTAAATATATTAGGAGTGTTTAAACAAAAAGGTAATAAACATAAATTCAAATGCTGTGCGGTCGAACCTGTGGGTGGACAGCTAATCTCTTATAAATAAAATATTTAAAGTATAATTATAATACTCACTCGAAGAGGCTTTTTTAAGTCACTGGAGTTATAGTGTCCCAATTCTCGTAAAGTATCAGCAACTATATTTTCCCGTGAAACGTTTAATATTACAAACTGATTATGATGTCGTGAGTCTACAGAAAATGGATCAAGAAATATTTGATTCATTACAGCTCGGGTTGCTGCCTCATTCATTGCTGATTGCATCTATACACATAACATATGTATACATACATATATGTACAAACATAACATAATATAATATAATAAGACAAACATAGTATAGAAAATATATAAACGTACTTATATGGATATAATACAAGTTCATGCTTTACCTGAATAGCTTGATCCGTTTCAAGCAATATAATTTTAGCATTTGCGTCAAGAAGGAATGGATAATTACAAAACACCTTCTGATACTGAAAAAAATTTAATTAAAAATGTAAATGTTTAATTACTATATTTTTAATAGCTTTTAAAAAGTTTAATAAATCAAACAGTCATTATATTACATAACGTGCTGAAAAAGATTCTTTCTCTGAAATCCACTTTATGTAATCGGCCCTTATGTCTATAAGCTCTACTAATTCTGGCAAATGAAATGTAGAATAAGGTACTTTATTGCCTTCAGAATCTTCATTGTTCAATTTATTTAGCAAGTATAAAGAATCTAATATAACTTGCAACGTCACATCCCATAATATACCCTATATAAAAATATTCAAAATATATAAAATTTTAAGCATATTATATATTTCTTTAAATGATAAAATAAGTATTCGTGAGTATTACCTTATTTGGTTTAGATTGTTTTACATAATGCAGAACAACTGACTTATGAACTCTAACTAATCTCTCAAAATAATGAGGCGGTGCTTCAAGCCACCAATTTCTAACAATTTCAAGGACTTCTGGATGTAATGCTAAAATAGCTTTGCAGAATGGCTTATGTAATAAATTACAATTAAGTGGATTTACGAAACCATGATACAGGGGTAATATTAAATAGATTCTTAAACATTCCGGAGAAATTATTTTAGGTGGCAAGTTAACAAAGGAAGAAATCAAGCTGTCTGATATGCAAGTAAATATCTAAAGAAAGAATAATACATTTATTGTAATTTTATGTATGATAATATCTAAGGTTCGTAAAATTTATTTTTTTTTATATACCAATTCTTGAATTGTGCTGTTATCCAATTCTCTAATAATTCCGAATAATTTAGTTGCTTGATCAAGATCCACTCCATGATGCTTACTTGAACATCCATAACGAGCATCGTTTTTAAATAAGAATGATCCATTTACACAGGATAGACTTTTAAATACCGTTTCTAGATATCTATAAGTATATTAATTCACAAAATTGTATGAATGTCATTATTGATTGTTTATAAAAGAAGCAAGATGTGATGAATTGTCAATTGGAAAAAGAATGAATTTTAACTTTTTTAGATTTCTTTTAGATAACCAGTAAAAATTCGTTATATTATATACTTCTATAACAGCCTTAGGTACTAACTTTTCTACTCACGTCATAAGTTCATGATCAACAGATGAATATGGTGGAACTCGTTGACATGCCATTAATTGTTCTTCAGTTATCGTAAGAATTTGAGAGGAGCTTTCCAATGTTCTACAATCATCTGGTTTTATATTATCCTGAAAACAATTAAACACATGATATTTATATTTATATAATAACATAAATACTATTATTAAGTTGTATGAGTACATAATAAGAATAATAATTAAAGAATATATACATTTTGTGTAACTACTGTAGCAAAACAATGATCTCCACCAGTGAAAATATGTTTAACGACATAGCCAACTGTACAAGAACTGAATTGCTTATCAAGGTCCATCATCGAAGAGCCATTTGGTGCAACCCATGGACCATGTACTACTTGTGGAGTTGGTATGCTTCGAGTAGAATTGTTACCTAATTGGCCTGCACCACCCAAGCCCCAAGCATAAACTCTACCTTGTGATGGTACCAATGCCAAGGTATGTCTTTTGCCGCATGAGATCTCAAAATAAAATATTTAATATAGCATAAACACACGTTAATAAACAAATGATGTACCAATCTATATTTTGTGTAATATACCTGTGTAACTGTGCTACCCATAAGTTCCATAACTTGACGAGGTAAAATTTCATTATTATTACTCCCATGTCCTAATTGACCATACATTCCCGCACCACATGTAAATACTCCACCATCCTAATATAAGTTTTACATAACATTATTGATAAAGCTATTTAATGTACAAATAAAAATACTTACAACTGTTAAAAATACAGAAAATTCTTCTCCGCAAGCTGCATAACATATTTTTGCATTTCGTAATGTTTGCAATTGATGTGGTAAATTTCTATTTTGTGTATCATTTAGCCCTAACTGCCCAAATGTATTTTTTCCCCATCCAAATATAGCTCCTACAGAAAAATTTAGTTATTTCTCTAGTTATGAAAATAATTTATTTTGTAACTCTTATTATAATACCTGATTTTGATATAGCTATGCTATGATATCCTCCACAGGCAATAAAAGCAATAGGAACACCAGCTAAAGTATTGATAAGTTTAGGTTTTACTTCAGATCTAATATCAACACCTAAACCAAGTTGCCCTTCACTATTAGAACCCCAGCTGTATAATTCTCCATTATTTGTTAATGCAAGAGCATGTTTCATACCACAAGCTACTTGTACTATAATACTTGTACCTAGAGTCTTTACCATACGTGGTGAACATTCCATAAAATTTTTGGAATTTAAACCTATAATAAAGATAAAATGTAAGTTCTTAAAAGAATAGTAATTGGAAACTTTGAAATATAATGTTTATAATAATAAATATCATTACCTAGTTGACCTTCTGAATTAGATCCCCAACTAAACAATTGACCCCATTCGTTTACTGCTATGGTATGATATGCTCCACAAGCTACTTTTTTAAATACAAATGCATCTAATCCAAGTATTAATTCTAAATATAAAATTAGATATGTAATCTCATATAAATCTAATTTACTAATTTGTGTTATCTATTAACATACTTACGTAATCTTTTCCTTCCTCGTTCATGACCAAGTTGTCCATAGTCATTATTTCCACATGAATATATTTTACCATCATGAGTAATAACCACTGTATAATTTTCACCACAAGCAACTACAGAAAGAAATTTTTTAAAGGTATAAACAATTAAATGAAAATCTATATACACAAATACATGTATGCATGAACATGTGATTATAGTTGAACTTACTTTGCTGAATTTCTGAAGCTTTTTTAAAATCAACTTGACATGGAACTAAAATAATTTCATCCTCTATACCACCTAAACCTAATTCTCCGTGTCTAGTATTACCCCAACAAAACATATCTCCTTTTTTAAGTAAAGATTTTTGCCCTTTTATAACAGGCTCACAGGCCATGCGTCGTTTTTTATTCCAATTTGCCTGCACAAATAATAACATAAAATATAATCATAATATATAACATATATAACATAATATAATAATCTTGTATTTATTCAATGTCTGTATATATTTCTTTATAATATGAATAATTAGACACTTAATTATTTACACATGTTCTTTTTAAAATTCAAGATACATGCCAACCAAATATAACATTATAGTAGAGTCATTCAATTGTTATTGTGCTTTTATTGAACTAATTTCTTAATACTACGGTTGTTAAGAACTCCATGATAATACATTAGAAATTATATATATGAAATACAAGCAAGAAGTAAATTGAAACTAAATAAATCTACAATTATGATTTAGTCAAATGATACCTAATATAAAAAAAGTGAAATTATTTACAATATATGCTATGATTTGGTTTATTTTGTTTAGTTATATATTATTAGCTTAAGGGTTAGTCATGAAAGGAATGGCTAAAACTTAACTTGATAGATTTCAAATAAATAATATACATGCTTATATATATGTACATACTTTTATAGTATTATATATTAAAATAGTAAAAATAATAATTAATATTTATAATAATTTTTTAATGAAAACATGTATCAATAACTAACCATATTTTTCTATTTCTCTCATACTGAAAGCATCAGAAGTGTGGATGGGACATGCTATTTATGAAAAACTTGTGGTATGGCCTAAAAATAACATTCTTTATAATTCTCTTATATTTAAGACTTTGAAATACAATTTATTAATAATAAAATTGTTTTGATATAGAAAGAGTCATACACTGACTAGTTATATTGTTATTTAAATTTCTAATTTAGAATACAGAGCATGAAAAAATTGAATAATATGTAAAATTAAATTCAAGCAAATATTTCAACCTACTATCGCTAAAGAAATTAAAAATAATTTAATTTACGTTAAGGATGACTGTGCAGATATTATTACACTGAACACAATGTCATGTAACAAATTTTTATTATACCTGTTTGTCCTGTCATAAGTAAAATTTTATCAAGTTAGGTTAAGAGAAACGGAAGAAATTTAGTAGTTTAGTATGTGATAATATTTAACGAGTCAAGAAGTAACAAATTAAAAATGAAGGAATGTACAAGAAACTGAAACGCAGCAAATTTCACTTATATGTCGATAAGAATTTATTTTTATAGTAAAATACATATTCGTATCGTAATTTTACCGTTACTTACATTTCTCCTAAATAGAGTGTATTTGCGTACTTAAATATAGGTATTAGAAAAAAGACAAAATCTTCTGTATGTACATATATTACAGTCGCGATTACAATTTACTTATAGTGTAAAAAACCTTTCCTTGCTATGAACTTTGACTACTATAAGATCACAATCTTGATAATATCAAGATTAAACATACAGATCCAAAACAAAACTTGAGATCTGCAAAATAATAACGAAACTTATATAAAAATATTTGCCTGATATACAATTCTGATATACAACAAGTTCTGATAATTGTTATACAATTTTTCAGCACACTATGTATTTTATAACATTTACATACGTACATATAACGTTATAATCTAATTTTACAGATTACACATAGCACTTCTCTGATAGTATTCTAAATTATAGTGAATTCTAATAAAAACAAAAATGCTGGAAAGTAAAGCTGAAAGTTACAATATATTCAATTATAAGTAATTGAATAAAAGATAGAAATAAAAATAAATACCATATATGAAACAATAATGAAGAAGTTTAGAAGAAAATAAGTCAAAAAAAATTGAACATATTTGTTGGCTCTATCTTTAAACGTACTTTACAATTCTATGGTAGACTCATCTATCTTATATACGTAGTTCATGATTTATCCCTTCTCCCGAAGAAAATTGTGCGAGCGGGTGGGCAGGCGGCAGCCATATTATCAGTGAGGTGTCAGTATTGTCCGAACGTGACGGGATTTTTGGGTGTGGATCATACAATTTCCTGTCGTTTTCTCTAACGGATATAGTGCAAGTGCAAGTGCCACCGGCCTACTGTGAATGTGTGGCACATGTGTCATAGAATTTATATCTTATAATTACAATAATGTAAGTTGTACATATTGAATTGGAACTCGGTATTAAGCAGTTACACATTTTATATGTATAAATCTTAGAACAAATATTTTTTTAACTATCTTCGAAATATTACTCGTTTCAATATTGTTAGACGTTTTTATCAAATTTCCTATTTCCTAGTTCCTAGTATTTTTTCCTTGAGAACTACCTTGCTATTACTAACCTAGATACAGGTTATTTCTTTAAGTTATAATGTCATCTCATAATACCATAATATCCTTAAGAAATTTCTAATGAGAATACATTCTTTTTTTCTATTGACATTTTGATTTTATGTGTTCTATTCATACAATAGATTTATAAATATATTTGCTTCATAATTTTAGTCATTGAAGGTGACATGCTACATTCCAATATCTTTTTCGTACAAAGGACCATGCAGTAAACACATCCATGAAAAAAAGATTCTGTAAATGTAGATAGATAATTAATTGTTATATATGTAGAATAAAATGTTGAGATAATTTAATGTTACAGCTATCTAGATACGAATGATACTATAAATGTAATGTGAAATGCCCGGTCTCTCGTGAACTGTTTAGCAATCGTCTTTTCCTTTAAAGCAAAACGAGACGACAGAGACAGGATGACAGGATTACAAGCTTACATTTCTGTTAATCCTACGCATTTCTAGTCAATCTCAGCAATTAGCTTACAATATTTCACGCTATATACTATATACTATATACCTACTGTGTATGCATAATGAAGGTCTTTCGTCTTTTTCCATAATTATCTTTTTCTTTTATTGAATATTTCGGTAATTAAAATATCCGAAATAGTTTAACGTGTACATTATAATAACATATATATATATATTATTCGATTTTACGTAAATTATAGCAAAACGTGTACTATTATATAATAAAGGTATATAATCGATATGTAAATTACCGTTGAAATAGCATGTATGTATTTGGCGTCAATGAATGACCTTGGAAGAGATTTCGAAACATGAATCCTTTTTCATCATAACATTCCTTCGATTATGTGGAAATTTCTAACGTGTAACACCTTCTGTATGTATTTACGTTATTTGAAATATTTGTTTTTATCTTCTAGTACATTTCAGGTTTAAAACATGTATATATTTGAGCGTTTTTGCGTGAAATCGTACCATAAATTGAAATAAAAATTTGAAATTTACGCCGTGAAAAACACGCTTTAGCCATTCACGTAAACATAGAGATTTTGCGACGAGTATTTTGGACTTCGGACGCAGTATGTAGTCGGAAATGGAGACTTTATTAATAGATACTTTCTATCTCCATGCTACGTGAAAAGTTGGACGGATACGTCCCGCTGAGCTTTTTTACCGCCATTGACAAAAAGTTAGAAGATACCAACAGTTCAATGGACGTAGTGGTCCTAGATAAAAGGGGAATGCTAGACACAGTGCGCAGGCACTCCTTACTCCTTATTGCGGACGGATGTCGGTCACGCGGATTTACATTATAACCTGTCTCTTCTTCCAATATGGAGACTTGTATGCAGTTCTCGACTATGAACACGCTATGTACATGTACTTCTGTTTTTTTAACAATGATCTTGCAGTAATTTCAAGTTGATCCGTCACTACACAATAATATTAATTAGCAATGATGTTGCTTCTTTCTATTATCATTAATTATTGTTAGTTAGTATTATAACATTATTAAATATTTCTTAAATACCTTTCCGCATTTTTTATAGGATTGTGGAATATATTACAACGTATTATTGAAAAAGTACTAACTCATTGAAAGTAATATTTAAAAAATGTTAATAATATTCGCGAATTCTTGTTAAACATAACATTTCTGGATAGTTTGTAATATTTGGAGGAAGTTTTATTTCCATTTTTTCATTTTATGTGTATTATAGTATTTAATGTATACAGATATTACAGAATTTATTAATAATATAATGTTTTATTAATTATAATTCATTTTTGTTACAGATTGATATTTTCATTGTTTGACACGGGAAGACGACCAAAGGAAGCTACCAAAATGCCGAAAACGGTAGGTATATTTTATAAAAAAAGTATATTCTTTAAAATTAGCTTCACTTTAAATTTTATATTGGTAAAAATGTGTAGTATACTCTTGTACAGTCTCTAGCAATAAAAAGACATTATTAAACGTTAATGATAATGAGCACATTTTTCTTACATACAATATAGTAGTATTCTAGGTGAAACAGTATTATTATAATAATTAACAAGTTCAGTAGTAACAAGCTTTAAGTTATATGATAGATTGATCAAGTTATCCCTATTGATATTATTGATAATTTTAATAAGTTTTAATAAGTTTCTAATCTTCATTTCTTAACATATTTCGTATTAGTCTTGAATAATTTTAGAGAATAAAAAAAAGAAACAAAAGTTTCATACGTACCCTTCAAATTGTGATGACGGTATGCTTCCATTATGGTATTTTTGAATAAAGAAATCATTGTTTAACGAGATAAAACTATTTTACAAGAACAAATGATTAGGACACGATATAAGTAACTATTACACAAAAGATGCTTCGATTATTTTAGAACGTTTCATTTTGAAGAAGACCGATCATGTCGGTAAACGTAAACCGTTCTCGAAAAATTACTTCCTTCTGTACACCCGGTATTTTAACTAAACGCTGATTGGCTCTGGCTATGCGCATCGTGTTCCTCACGTGATCACATTCGTTCTTCTTTCTTGCTCTTACGAGCTCTGGCTATGTTTCGGAAAGAGAAGGACAACAATGCATAGCTTATAAAGGGAAGGAGTGGTGGGAAAGACGCTGCCGGCTGCACTTGCCCCATAGCATAGTAGCCCATTGTATGACTTGAGACTTAAGATTTTGAGACCGGCATAAGTCGATAGTTCGACAGACAGACGGTTAAATCTTGTGGTATCGAGTGTTCATTCGTCTTGACCAATACATCTACAAATTTCCAGTGTTGTATTGTTGAGATTATTCACGTTCGGTGCCACAATACTCAGTCACTTATCAATTTTGATCGTTTTAACGGATCTCGGTTGAATTCGCGTTTACGTTCTCGTATCATCGCAGTTCACAGCCATGGTTGCCGGTGCTAAAATGGTAAGCGTTCATCTGTAAGCTATTTTGTCCCTTTCAAATTCTTTCTTTAGTAATATTTTCAAAAGCAGAAGGATATAGGTTAGAATTGTAATATTTCATGTGTTCATAAATTATTTCTTCTTTTTTGAGAGAAGGATCTGAGATTATATACACATGTAGGAAAAGGGTTAGAAGTGGCGTCCTTCCCTCTACCGGGTGACATCTCAATTTACTTCAATGAATTTCTTATTTTTGATTCTTGTTTCTTATTTTATATGTAAAGATGAATGTCAGGGTGACGACAATGGACGCTGAACTGGAGTTCGCGATCCAGCAGACGACTACCGGGAAGCAACTCTTTGACCAAGTTGTGAAAACGATCGGGTTGCGTGAGGTGTGGTTTTTCGGACTCCAGTATACCGACAATAAGGGCGATCTGACGTGGATAAAATTGTATAAAAAGGTAGGATGACTGGTTGTTTATTGCGCTATATAATTCCTTTAATCGTACATGATGGCTCTTTTTCGTATATGAAATTGAGCTACATGTATCTGCAAATATCTAAAAGCTTCTGTAGTTGCTTCGGTGTGAAATAAGCTCTGTATTTAATCAATAGTCAATATTAAACTATTTATTAAGTACTTACATATTTACTACTTTCTATAGATAAAATACATTATTGGTATATGGATAATATACTATTACCTATCATAATTTAGAAATAGTGAACAATTGCTTTCACGAGATAAATTTTTGTAAGACACGTGAAGCAAAATATGTAATATATAATTTATCACTGATCATTCAATATAACGGCTTTATAAAATTATTTAACAATTTTTAGGAGTTAAAAGTGAAAAAGTACTTATACTATTATGTAAATGTTAAAATTAAATTATTTATTCTGGAATGAATGACTGGTCGATTGAATTTAGGCATTTACATGTGTCATTTTGACAAAAAAAGTAACTTAGGGAGAGATGTGACGGCGAATGCTGATGTCATCGACTTTCGTAGATTCGTTACGTTCAACGATCAACCACACGTTCAATTTTACGCTCGATTCTTATCTCACAGTTACAGGTTACAGCATCCATTCTTATCTTATATTCTTATATCTTATATTCTTATATATCTTATATTCTTATACCTTATATTATCTTATATTTTATTCTTCCTAAAAAATAATTTATATTTATCATATCACAATTAATTAATTATTCATTTGCCTAAAATTTACATCTTCGGAATAACTTTTCTAATGCATTTGTAATCTTGCATCTATACATGAACAATTGTTCAAAAAACTATAGTAGCAAAATATAGTAATAATTTTAACAACAAAATTACTTTTTGCAATTAAATTTATATTACGCGTATTCGTTAAGTTAATATAAATAGAAATAATTTTTTCCAATTCTAATCCTTGCTGTTTGTACGAAATTATAAATCATTAATTTTTTACCATTTACGTCTTAATTATTATTATAGATAATTTTAAAAATGCATGGAAGATAACCATGAAAAATGATTATTTTGATCATTTCTTTTAAAGATATCGTACTTAACACGATATTCTTGATTCAGATTCTTTTAGGTATGAGATGGAAACAATTTTTTTTAATCTGGCATGTTTGATGATTTACGTTTTAACTATTAGCTTTGAAAATATAACAGGTAGACACGACAAATATAGGAGAAATTAAATAATCACGAGAAACAATTCCGATTATTCCTTTCAAAAATATACTTGCCATGATATTCTCGATTGGGTTTTTTTTTTTAACGGGGTTCAGCCCGGAATCACGGACTTCCGACGCGTGATTTCAAGTACAGTTACGAGTTACGACCAAGTGGATGTTCCATTTGCTTTCACCAAGCGGTTGGTGTAGACGCGCCTTCACCTTGACACAGTCGCGTTCGCGTATATGTACCTTTATTGTCTCCTTGTCGTCTTTTCTTCCACGGGTTTCAACATTTCTGCGAGCCGACTAAACGTGACCAATTTTAGGCGACTGCGGCTCATCTGGTCGTCGTTTCTTTTTTGCCCTTTCCATGTTCTCATTCTTAGAATAAGACGCACGAACATATTTTCCAATGGGGAAAATGAGAAACTCGTGGAAATCAAAACGACTTGTGATCGCCAGGTGAAATTCGATTTAACTACATATAGAAAACTTAACTAACTTAACGGATAATGATCTTGTAGGAAGCAATCGAGATTGAACAATCCATTTGAAACATGTTTCACTTATATGGAATTATCATTTATCATTTGTTCTATCGAAATATTCTAAAATCTTTTATTTGAAAGATATTCTCTAATTTTAGACTTAATTAAGTATGATTAATTATATGTAATTACATAAGTGTTGAGTTTTCGAAGAAAAACGGCATTTTCGTGCTATTGTTATGCGAAGGATAAATTTATGTTAAAGTTCAAATATTAATGGTTACATATCTATATTTTGACAAAGAAGCGTTAATAAATTATTACATTATTTCGTAGTGCAACTAGAAGGAAATTACAATTTTACTCTCTTAATCACAAATTTATAAACTTTATTCAAATTGTAAAGCATGCTACTTCAGCATATAATGTTTTAAAAGTACACGTAATTATGTATTTACATTTCCATTAATACGATTAATTAGAGATTAAAAATAATTACTAGAACTTAGGCATCTCTAATTAGGATAGAAGTTTCTGTAAAGATATATTTTTAGCTTCTATTTATTTCTGCAGGACAGATGTGAAAATTAGATGACGTAATTATATTATCTGCAGTTGCAGATAATAACAAGTATTTTTATTGTAGTATGTATGTTGGCCTAAACAATAAATAGAGTGGAAGTTGCATTGCTATTTTAGGCCAAATTTCGTAGAAATCATAATATAATAGATTGTATTATCCTGTTATTTTCATTACGTAGAAAATGAAAGAAGCGATACATTTTTACATTTGAATCAGTGTCAATTAATGAAAAATTGAATCTAGGAGATCCAGATACAAAAATAAGTATTGGTACTCTGTTGTTACACTTCATTTCTGTTGTAATTAAGTTGATTTTCTTGAAAATTATTTGCAGAAAAATTCTAAAATTCATTGTTTGAAAATTTCTTCTTCACTTTATAAAACTGAGGCGAACTAAACTTGTGTCATACCTAAAGGATCGGCCTTGCCTTTTTTATCTTTAAAATTATCGGATTATATAATATGTGGAATTTTGCAAACAGTCTTGTAAAATTGTAGGGTAGCATCATTAATTGGAATTTTCGTATTAGGAATGTAAATATAAATCATTAATATAGATTTTGCAAAGAATTTTGAAAGCATTTTAAAAAGATATTGTAGAACAAAGTTAAAAAATTTCAGCAACTACTGTACGTTTAATAGATATTGCTGTTGAAGTTCAGTTGAACGTAAGAAGATATAATAGGCTTTGATAAAGAGATAATGTTTTGTGAAATCAGCTTTTATTTATAACTAACAAATTACTTACAACTAACAAATTATAAATTTGTCACTAATATTTTTATATCTCATTTTAAATTCGTTGTCTGCATTATTAAATAATTGCAAATTTATTCATATAGTAAAAAATACAGTACGTGCATGTTAATTATATAAGTTTCCAAATAAGAACTTCTATACTGATTTTGATACATTTTTGAGGATGTAGTGAATATTTTTTCCGTTAAAAATTTCTTTAAACCTAACTTTCATTATTTGGGTTGATTCATGTTTATCTACAATTCTGAAATACTTTTCTTACTTATAGTCACTTTTTAAAAAAGCAATGAACGAATACTTTCCCTCTTATCTAATCTAATCAATTGAGTACTTCTTAATTTATTACTCGAATTGTATTTCTGAAAAGTGTTACTTTTAACACATGTTTAAATGCAGTTCGTGATTTGAGAGAAAAAAGTTCATTTTATTAATTATTTCAATACCAAGTAAATTAATACATTCTTTAAACAACTTTATGGTATAGTACCTTAATCTACATCGAATATTACTGGTGTACTTAGATAATTAAGTTCGTGCAATAAACGATGAAAATGAGAAATCTAGGCATCAGTTTTCAGTATCATAAGAGAAAGCTCGTGACCTATCTTTTAGGTGTGACGTTTTTTTCCAAGTAACGTTTGGAGAAATGTTTTTAAATTAGATATTCATTGTTTTCTAAATTAGGTATTCAAAAAGAGTATTGTTAAAGATTATATCTCTCGCAAACAATATTATGTTTGAATTTGTTCCTCCTAAGGCTCAATACTCTATTTTAATTTATAAGAAATGCCAGAAATACTCGATAAATACAGAGCATAGAGTACTGAAGCAATCCTATCGTTTGTAATTACAAATATAAAATTTCAGCTGAAAACATTTCACTAGAATTATAAATATCTTATTGGAATTATAATTATCTTATAATTTAATAAATTACAAAATACATACATAGTTTCTTATTAATTACTTATAATTAAAAATTTAAATGACATTTACGACCAAACTTGCAATTTTCTTTTCGCTTTTTTAAACCGATTTTTCAAAGTAAAATTATAGACTTCTTCTTAACCAATTCCAAGCATAACAATTACTTTTCAATCAGCAGAAGCCTGCAGTTATCAAAGATAACGATTTTCCTTAAACGAAGCAGTTATATTTTTCGATTCACAGATCCGGCGAAACTAACTGTAAAAAGTGAAAGAAGAGTAAATGGTCGAGAACACATTCTCAACGCTATTCTTATATTGTACGCATTCCATACAATAGAATTTTTCGTTCGATATCGAAGTTCTCTAAATCTGATTTCTCTTCATTATTAATAAAATTGATATAATACCCAAGAAAAGTTCTTCAAAATATATCTTTCTTTAATATTTTTGCAGTACAAAGCTTGGAATATAAGTGAAAGTTCGAATCTAGATCTACGGCCGGAAACGTTAGTGCATTGCAATAAAATGAATGTAATAAAATATAGAAACGAAGCCGGTCTATCTGCTCTGTGTATTTCTGGCAAGTAGTATACCGGGTACTAAAAGGACCAACGACGAATGTATCGCTAACTTATCTTAACCGCTAGGTGATGTCTTAGTATGGAGGCAGCTAGTCGATGTCCGGTTAGATTGGTTGTTTTGGTAGACTTTTTCTTTAACAACCCATGAACGATTGCCCGCAGCCGGAAAATGCAATAACGAGGGTGGTGAAGAAAGAGGTGAAAAAGAAAGTTCGAAAGCTGAGAGGTCGCTCCGACTCGGACACGGACGACGACGAGTTTGAAGATGACCTGGTAAGCTACGGGAAGAGGGACTTGCTTTTCTCACGTTCCGAGATTCTTCGGTGTAGAAATGGGGGGTTCGGATCGAGAGAAACGGTAGGAAAGGCAAATAGGTCGTCGCTTCTCAAATTTCTTTGATGACAGACTGTTTATAGCTATAGTGGCTCGCTAAAAAA